CGTGCCACGCACACGACCTGTGTCCCACCCCAGAAGCACCAGGCTACTACCAGGATGATTCACACGCGTGCGAGTGCCACAAAGGCTGTACTGGGAAGGAACCACATAACCTAACTCTCAGTCCTGAAAAGGGCGAATTATTGCCTCATCTGGAAACCTTCTAGGTCATGACTAAGCGCGTCGTGATAGACTCAAGCCTTTCGGATTCATTATAATGAGGAATGCGTTGATGTGCCGTGAGTACAGGTTCCCCTCTGTCGGCCTCACCCTCTCTTCCCTCTCTTGATGTATCATTCAGCAGTCGGGGCCTGTCAGTCAGTCGATGTGAGCGATACCTGTAGGGCAAACACACCCAATGCGCATGACTGTCATCAAGTGGTTGGTGCGGCGTGCGATCGCCACCTAGAGTCGGTGTTGGCCACGGAGGATGGAGCGCTTGCACCAACGCCTTACAACAACAAAGCGTCGGATTTGCCAGTCGAGTAACCACTGCCGTGGCGTCGGTTTATTTATTAATTTGCTGGCGCTCCACAGACAACCTGGAAAACTTCTTTGGTGACGATTCCGTGATTCGTACCGATAAAATGAGTGAAGATAGGGCTCGAAATTGATAGGTTTCCACCTACATCTAGGTAAGACGGGCATGTGTTCTCACAGCCTCTTTTCCAGACCCCTTGCTGTACTGCCAATGTATCCAGCTCCACAGAAACAGGTGGATGAGTAAAGGCACATCGATGTGACCTGCAACAGTAGTCTGCTTTCACCTTCCGGACGTAGATGGCAGTTTGTGAAGAATACGCGAAAGTTCGTCGGGGAAAAGCGCTCATAATCGCTGTCTTTAGACGTTCCCTTAGGAAATGCGGTTCCATAAACACGTCTCCAGTAGAAGGGGGACACTCACTGATCGTGTTACGTAACACACTCGTTCCGATGTGCCCTAGGTAAGGCTGGCTGACGACGGCTAATAAGCCAGAAGTGGCCATTCCGGCCTCTCCCTCGTCTTTATCGGTAATGCTATTTTGCAGAAAGCGTCTTTCTTTTCTGCAGTTGCCGTGGTAGGCTTTGCAGTGCGCTCTTTGATATTCTGTAGCATAAATCTCTCGTGGTATACATTTCCTCGAAGTATGTTCCGCACCAAATAAAAGGTGTTTTCCGGACTTTTAGGGCCAGCTAACACTAGTGTGGCTTTAACTCTTCTATCAGCCATTTTATGGTGTTATTGGACGAACTCTGACTATCCAATATTGTACGCAGGGGTAGGCCGTGTTTGCGATTTTTCGGGGCATCGTCGTACCCACATGCATCAGCGGCTGAAACTGTCAGACACAAGACCTTCTTTGTGGAGACTTTGAAAACTTTCAACTAACTGACCCTTGACGACCCTGATCCGATCCCCGTCAGACAAGACTTGTTGCCGGCAGTCATCGCTGCGATGTCTGGTGTACGCATTCAGGACCCTGCTGCCTCAAGGGCATTCATCTTCGCAGTGAGCGATTCCAGACCCGCTGAACTGCAGTCACCCGATCGATTTCAGCTCGGACACACGTGGGTCCACACAGTCGCCGCTGCCCGTGCTCACCACTACCACCACCACCCCTCGGTGAATGCGGCCTAGGCTACTAGATGCACCATCCCTCGGCCAATGCAACACACACCAACCGGGCGGCACTTGAACTTGTTCCACACAAGCTTCTACAGGCCGCCGTCACCACTTTTACTACGCTCTCTCTCTCTCCCTCAGGCACGACCTAACACCATCAGCACACGTCCTTGTCCACCAGCGGCCACTGCCGCCCGGGGGGGGGGGGCAACACGGAGTTCTGGACACAATAATTCCCTCACTATGGTGACTTATGTCTTCTCCTGCAACTCGGAATCTGGCATGGTGATTGCAGCACTCTTAGTACACTCACTGGTCAGACACTACATATTCCCTCTTCTTTCGCCATGTTACCATTCCTACCCATCAGCGCTACTTCCGAACCCTTTTTGGCCTGACGACGAATTACTGAAAACACATCAATTTAAAGACGAGATAGGGAGCATACGGAGCTTTCGATAAATTCTCGTCGGGTCAGTACAGTTATATGGGAGCGGGGTAGAAGTAAAACATGTCAGCGATAAGAGAAATCGATAAAAGTTCTTCTTAAAACACATATAACTGTACTGGCCCGACGAGAATTTATCGAAAGCTACGTATGCTCGCCACCTCGTCCTCTGATCACTGCTATGGGAATTTTTGCAATATCAATTTGATTCGCCTGATATCGCACGGTCAGGGAGCTCCAATAGTAGGTTAAATTAAAAAAATTGCTGTTACTTGAGTGCAGCTTCTTAATTCCCTTAGAAATTAATAGCTAACTTTAAGTAAATCAGTTTTAGAGGCTCAGACTGAACTGCGATGCCAATGTTTGGACAGAAGTTTATCAGCCACAGCGAAATAAGCGCGTAATATTAATAAACTGCCAACAGGCAACCAGGACAGTTTGAGCGTAGTTGGCGAAGATGTCCACCATGTGCTCCACAACAAGGTAAAGCAGGAACGGTGACTTGTGCGTGATTTAGTTTATAGTGGCAGTAGACTTGCGCAGTATCTACCGCACTCTCCCTTCCCCACTGCCCACCGGAGCCCGGTTTCATGACAGAGTCAAGGAGACCGGAGGCGGGAGAGGGCGCAAGTGGCTGACACGGCAAAAACCCGCACATTGGCGCTCCACTCCACACCGCCTGGTCCGCAACAAACACGTAACCAGCATTTTAACCAACAAAAGAGGAACGGGGGTTGGTGCGGCCGAAGACGCACCTAGGCGTGCCGCCAACGCCCGACTCGGATCCCACGGAGTGGGAGTACCATAAAGGCCGCATTAAGAAGGAGTCATTGCAGACGGACTCTTAGGCCACCAGTCGACCACTCCACGCAAACACACAACACTAGGCCGACTGCGAGGTCCAATTTATCCCGTTAGTTGGCAACCTTCCAAGCCGCAACTTTTAGCGAACCGTGATCGCTTCATGCGTGTCAGTTTGTTTATAGGGATGAAAATGAGCTGAACCATCGACCTCACTCTCCCTTCCCATTCCCAGGCCTCAGTAACTGGCCCAGCCGATCAGTTGACAGGCGCAGTGAATGGGCAAAACAGTATATATGCATTAGTATATGCAGACTGCATAATATACCATATCCGACAGCCCAGCTATTAGTTAAAAGCCGGCACTCTGCCACTGAATGACGGCTGCGAGGGATCCGGCTGATCAGTTGGTCACCCAGCGTTCAGTCTGTGCTTTCTGGTAGAACTCCAGTCCTGAAATTGCAGGTTCTCAACTTCCTCGGAAACTAATTGCTAACTTCGAGGTCAGATTATCTGAAGTTTATAGGCTGAGTGGTAGAATATCGGCGAAATACATGTCTGCGCTCTTAGGTAGCACCTGTGCTACCTACTTTAGTTAAGTGACCTAAGGAATGTAATGCGTTTCACTTCGTTACGGAAGCCACTGACAGTCATCCCGCAAAAATAGGCTCCTTAACTGCATTTTCACCTTATTTCCTGTTAGTCCCGGTTGCTATTTGTTCGGAGGATTTACAAGATCTGTCTTTTGGGTGACGATTTCTAAAAGTGCGCCGACGGAAACAACGTGACCCAAAGGCAGTAACTGTGTCCAATTTTAGGGGTCGCTCACCGATCGTTTCTACGGAACTCACTCGTTCCGTTGTGCCTTACAGACTCTCACTCGAGCCCAGCCAGGTCGCGAGTTCGAGCCTCGGGTGTGCCACACTTCGGAGTTGGGTGTGACTAGCTGACGACGGCTAATAAGCCAGAAATTGCCATTCCAGTCTCCCTTCTCTTTGTCGGTAATGTGTCCCTCTGAGGCACGCGGCAGCACAAATACATTGTTGATACAACATCCTGAGATAACTCCAAACCCTCCGTGCGAACATCATGAACTGAGCGCAAATCCACTAAGACACTAGTTAGGTTCAAGTTGCATAAAGTCAATACCAGCAGCCTCAACGAGCCGATCGAATTTGCACTAAAGCTGGAACAATGTGGCCCCGTCCTACTCATCCGGAAGTGCTTCATTTAAGAATGACCTCAAATATATCTTTCCACTTCTTCAGACAACAGCCATATTAAACTACATTCAAGGAGACATTGGCTTTGAAATAATGCATCGCCGTCCACAGTTCCATACTAATAACCTAGGTACGGCCAGAGATGCCTTGAAATGGCCAGTAGTTCGTATAGTGCCGAGTTCCCGACTACTCGCGGCCCTCACGGATGCTCGGTCATTGGACCATCCCCTATCTCCGCCTCCTGGGTGTTGAGAAGCCGGCATGTGCGTAGCACACGAAAGGTGAATGCTGATATCCTGATTAGCCACAGTGTTGGACTGGGTCTTTTCACTGAAACGTGATGGGTGTGAGGAGTGAGGAAGATACTTCACAAGTCTCCGCATTATGGTCCGATCCACGAAAGTGAGCATTGCTCCCCGCGAACAGTGGTTATTGTCATTTGTGGCGGAAAAGGCACTGATGACCCATCTCAGAAGGTTTGTTCAACTACCGGCCTCCTGGCGGCAACTAAAGTCACCACTGGTAGAACTGAAACAGCCACAACGTGATTCAAATTGTGATGCAGTTAGCGATGACGCCTCTACGAGGGGCCGAGATCGACTTCTAACCTGATAGCGGCTGAGGCCATAGGTTGCTTTCTACCTACAAGTAAATGCATCCAGACGCCGCGGACGATTCTGAAGTGCACGAGGTTACAGCTGATATGAAATCCATTGTCTAAATTTACAAAAAGTGATATAAGACCAGTTTATGAGGACGGCTAATAATTATTCTGTCCTATAAGGCGGCCGTGCTACTATGGGCCCCAAGCTTGTACCGCACACCACGGGCCCCAGAAGCACACGCACAGAAGAAAGTGTGATTAAACACGCAAAGAGTGGACTGGGTTTTAATCTGGAATGGAAGGGGGCTCAGCATAAGAGGTAGGTTACACGGAGGCCGGAACAGTCGGCGGAGAGGACTGCACAACAGCCGGTTCTGCTGCGGTAGGTTCAACCAGTTTCCACAGGCCGTAGTTTTCACCAACATGAGTCTGCCACAGACGCACTGTACCGTCCTCGCTGCCGCTTGCAAAGAGGTGACCGTCAGGCGAGAACCGGACACAATGTACGGGACCAAAGTGCCCGCGACAGGACTCTGAAGGTAACAGCAGGGAGACAGGTGGGATTACGAAACATTCCAATTTGAGGAGCAAATCATAGACAGAGACTACCGAAAATCGGCCTCCTCACGAGGCGGTGGCAACGGAGGTCTGAATGCGACTAATTGGTCTATTCAGTTAGTATTCGAAGTAGAGGAACTGCGAAGACAGTGTGGCTTGTAACTTAAATGCAGACTATACAGAGGGAAAAGAGGCGGCCGGCATAGAATCCCCCAATTCGGATCTAGACTGCTTCCAGGTCTGGCAGCGAGTGATTTCGATACCCTGAGCGGGCAAATCGAACGAGTGACTCAAAATACCGCTACTGGCATTCATCATCATCATCAGCAGCAGCAACGGCACCTTTCCACACATCACTACCACCATTTGCCAGATCCAATGAGTGGCAAAATATGAACTTAAGCAAAGGACAAGCAAAATGCTGACACCTTCATCCAGCAGCCTCTCGAGGGGCAGTAAAACCCGGCCAAAGTTGTGCTCTACATTAGCAATAGACGACCTGTGTTATGTGAACGCCATATGCAACCTGTGGTAAACATACCCAAAATATCGCCGGTGTTAACATCTAACCGGTATATCAGGTTGTCCTCTCCACCGCAGACAATCATATCGCCGGAGGGATGCATATGCGCGGTGTACACAGGGCAGGGTAACTCGAATTTGGCCACAAGTTCAGGTGCTGCAGAAGAAGAGGACGCACGGAAGTCCAGGTCGTAGACGACCACGTACTTTCCAAGAGGCACAACTGCCTTAACGGAGTTTCCACCCTCTGGGAGGGTGAGTGTTGCAGCGTCCATTGGACAGTCATCAAGGGGGACTGACCAGATCATCCGAGCCTCAGAACTCGCACCGGGCGTAAGATCCCACAAGCTGAAACGAGAGAAGAATGACTTGAAAAGATTGCAATTTCCCCTTCCTAATCCAGTATCACTTGCACTAAGGATAAATATTCAAGTTTAAAGTGGCTTGTAACGCATCAGAACGCCATTGCTATTGGTCTGTTTTTTGAACTAGTAAACGAGTGTACCGTCTGAAGTAAAAACGGCAGCAACAGAGGAGAGAGGATTTTTCGGGCTTAAAAAAGTGGATAATTCAAAGGCAGGTTTCACGATGGTCATTATAGGATTAGAAGACAGTTCGACTTGGAGGCAGAGGCTCGGACTCACCGCCGATCCAAGCTGGCCGGAATGGGACCCAGGACAGCGGCTGACGTGGCCGACTCCCTCTATGTGTGTCTAAGGTGTGCTGGTGATCTCATCGAATGGCTGACAAAAGGCTGCATTAGGAAGAAACGATTGCAAGCTAGGTCTGGAGGGCCGATTTCGCGTGTCCGTCGGCAAACTTTTCAGCCATGACTTTAATCGGACTAAGACTATTTAAAGACAAACTACCCTTACTACAGCGAACATGGGAAGTGCTGGATAGACTTGGAAGTACGCGGAGAGTCAACCTCCCTATTGTCCTCCTATCATCTGCGTGTGGGAAGTCGGAGCCAGGCCGGCTGAAGATGAGGGCGAATCCAGTAACTGATGCGGCAAGAGGCGTCCCAACCCTTCGCACGTATACGTCACCCCATTCGTGCGTAACGCGAACATGCAGTTTCTTTTTCTTGGTCCAATCGCACATAAGGCGAGTAGCCTGAAGACGCTCTTAGAGAGCACTCGAGCCTACTGCAGCAATTAGGCAGCCAGGTAGCGTGCGGCCCGATATTTGTAAAGTCTTAAAAACCCAGCAGGGTCAGAAAATACGCGATTCCAAAACATTGTACGTTATGCTACATATTAAGAATTTGGCAGATAGTTGGGTGCATTGGTGCAGGGTTGGAACTGCCACCACATGCAAACGAACCACTAAGACAAAAACAAGTTAAACTCCGCTCTTCCTGATTCCATGACTTCCAGTTAAACAGGTCAGGACGAATTACGACAAGTCGTGGGACTGGAAGAACTATCAATGATTGTCGTCAATATCGTCAACCAGGGAAAATCTTCAACCTCACAGCCACGACGACAAATTTCTGTATGAGCGCTAAAATATGGACAAGTAAACCTGGAGCCAATGCTTGACTAATTCCAATCTTTGGTCACGCATTAACTTAGGACTTCGAGTCCTTTCCGCAAACTATTTTACGCAAATAGTGAACCGCTATCCGTGCGTCAAGCTGTGATATGGGCTCGACGACAGTCGGTATGAACCTACTCTAACAAGTATGCTGGTCTGATGGCGAGGAAGAAACTGGAAGCTTGAAGCCCTAACAAGTGTTGGTTAAGCAGAACCAAGCAACAAAGACTCACTTGATCACTTTTTCATCGGAAATAGTGAGAGCGCGATTATCGTTGTCAATCCACAGGCACCTTCGGATGGTCTTTTTATGGCCCGGAAGTGTTATAATGGCTAGGTGAGAAAAAATGGAAATACGGTACGAGAGAGAAGCTAAATGAAATGACAGCCAATCTAATAGCATAAAAATATCTCGAAAGGAAACTATTGTCTCTATATCTATAACACGTTAATGCGTCCGTAAGGATACTGCCAACGAACTAGGAAAAAGAGGGGGCGAGTGGTTGGTAAGTGAACATGTGGGAGTATTTTAAAACGTACGTGAAGAAGGTGCCGCGAGGTCATAAATGTGAACTTGTTGCTTATTATTAGCGGTCATGAGTCGCTTCCCGCCGTCTGAAACGCTCAGATCTACAGCGCGAACGATGTGATCCTGCGAAATAGAAAGCACTTCATCTCCCGTGTTAACATCCCAGACTTTCGCAGAAAAGTCTGCAGCGCCAGTGGCCGCCTTTTGTCCAGCGTAGTCCATTGTGCAACACCAAACAGCACCACGATGCCCAAGAAAGGTGCCGACCCAGTCACCTGTATCGCCGGTTCGCAGCATCGCCTTCCCATCTAAAATAAACAATGTGAAAACGACAGTTATTCGGGGAACCAGAAAATAAATATATATTTAGATGAAGAAACATTTGAGGATGCTAATTACCCTTTGAAGCAGTCACAAGCAGAGCGCCACATTCTGATTCTCCACTAAACTGGAGGTCGACGACAGGGCGCGTGTGTCCACTACAGGAAATTGGGTTCTGGCGAATGGCTGCCATCGGACGACCCAGGTGTGGTAAATCGACCGCAGCCAAAGAGCCCGGGCAGCTATGAAACCAAAATCATTTACCTTGATGATATGAAAAAACAAACAAGGTTCAGAAGGAAAAAGTGGAAAGACGAAACAGTGAGCATAACGATCAATATTCTTCGTATTGCCTCACCAGAATTTATTCCCTCCCGAGTCATGCTGTTGTCCAAATAGTGTTCAAACTAGGGTTCACAGAGTTGGGTGTCCAGCAGATGCCCTGGAAAAAAACAAGGACACGGTAATTCCCTGTATGCTCTAACCTGGTTGCACGAAGTCCTCGAGGCCCAGTAAGTACAGTCGTACGTGGAAAGATGTGATGGTGCACCTAGACAGCGGTCTTCATTTTCCGTCAGCCATCACACCTGATAACGACGCCTACTGATTAGCGAGATCTAACAGTCCACATGAAATGGAGGGGAAGATAGTGTGAAGCCAACGCGTTAATCCAACCAGACGGCAGGTCAATATATTCCTCACTTAAGTATACTTTACTCCTTTAAATCTATTTCGACCAGCCTACACTCTTGAACTGGAAGTTTGCCAGCTGACTGGATTACTCGATTCAGAATGACCGTATTTATACGCATTAATCTTAGATACTAGCGAACAGCGGAAAACTGGACACATTCATAATGTCTTTGGGAACATACTGCCGGTTATTTATAAGTTATCTTTACTGGCCACTGGACTCGGTACGGACAGAGTGCGGATAATGATGTTTTTTCAAGGCTGTGTGTAAATAACCTCCTTTTACGAAATATTTATTGATAAATTTACGCAAACCTTCGCCTACGCACATGTGACACTTGTTCTGAACCATCAGTTGACTCGAAACACTGCAACGATTGCTTAAATGAGGAGATCGCTAATGGTCCTCAACCTTTACTAGGGACCGCCTTTATAGAAAATATTAAAAAGAAATTAATTCCCCATTATAAGCTCTGTTATGGAATCTAAGAACATACATTCACTGAGGTGAAAACTAAGAGACCGAATGGTAGACCGGTTTATAAATGGTTTAAGACCCTTTTAGAGTGTGGGCATATCCGCGTCTGAACTATTGGATATCCAGAGCTAAGTATATGCAGTAGTATATTTGCGGCAATCGAAAATGTTTTTGATGACCCTATTTAAAACAACATAGGTAAAATTCGAGTTCAAACAAACATTTTGCTAAAATTTTGTCAGCAACATATCTGTTGCAAAAAATATTCTAACGGCGTGATTATAAGTGTAAATATATGTAGTTAACGCGAAAAACTGTTATTTGCGTATGTTTCGGGGACGATTTGCGTCAAGCACTCAGGGATGCGCTACATACGAAGTGAAAAAGGAAGCATAGTAGACGGCTGATTGTAGACACTACTTTAGTAAGAGTCCCCGACCATCAAACATCTAACAATCCAGCCGCCTTTTGCATACAACCATGGTATCAGACGTCAATACTTTACTTGGGAGTGACTTCTGCTTCCGAATTACCCACTGGCAGAAGAAGAACTTCCGTCGATCTAGGCGCGTACATTCGCGTTTGACCTTGTACGAATGACCACACAAGTGACTCACGTTCGATAAGTCAAAGAAATGACAGATTTGTGCAAACTACTGTGCCCATGTATAATGCGGAATATCCACAGCGGGTTACACCTAACTTGTCTATAGGATACGGGTAACAAATCGAGATGGACCAGTGTTTCTGGGTATGACAGAATCCCAAGACCGTCGTCTAGTTTTGTCGTCCGTTGTTACATTTCCTCGGTGGAAAAAATGCCTTTCTTCATCCGGAGCACCCATGGTGGCATTCAATATGCCAATTCGGTTATAGAAACGTATTAAAGATCCGGGAGGAAAGTCTACGAATGCATACCTAATCTAGTGCATGATGCTTGTTGTTTTTGGATGGCTATTTTGCAGTGTACAGCCGGCAGACATTTTTAACTTGTCAAGTTACCTAGGTCAGTGATTTATACACTTCTCTAGCGGAATCCCATTTATAGTTTACCGGTGTTTTGGCAAACGTCCCGACAAGATTCCAAGCGCAAGAGTACAAATTTGGGTACATTAAGCGTTAGAACCCACTTGCTGAACCGTGCAGCCAGCCTACCAGGCTCCAGTCAGTCCAGACGGGGCCTATAGCACTAGCGAGCGAGTCGCGACTCCTCCAACAAGTATCACACTGTCGATACAAGCGAAGAGGCAAGTTCCAGGAACTCGCTGATCAGAAGGAGGAGAAGAAGAAGAAGGAGAAGAATAAAAAGAAGAAGAATAAAAAGAAGAAGAAGAAGAAGAAGAAGAAGAAGAAGAAGAAGAAGAAGAAGCGATCGCTGGAACAAGGGCTTTATTCGCCTGACGTTTCGGATTCTCACTTCAATCCATCATCAGCGACAGTGGCAGAAAAGGGTGACTCGTGCACAGGAAGTTGCAGTATTTATAGGATGCAGTCGCTATGCTACCGCATACATATAGCAATTAACCGTGTTCCCCTTCATCAAGGATTGTTGCCCGCTGGTGCGCTAATTGCTTGAGGACCGACATGCAAGTTGTTAATTGCTGAAATCTCATCTCCCGTGCTGGATGCTGGTGTGATGATGGCTCTCTCAAAGGCACTCCAACGTACGGACTAGCAAAATGGCTGTTTCGGCGCCTCACATTTCTAACCGCTGATTCGGACGCTAATTCCGTCAACAAAATTCATGGAGAACCTTAAAGGAGTAAGTCTCTTGCCAAGTGAGATCATGGTATCTTTTGATGTCACGTCCCTCTTTACTTCTATCCCCCAGGATCTGGCAATCGAGACAGTCGAGGTACTCTTACGAAGCAATTAAAATGAAATGGAGAATCGTCCCGGACATGCCCAAGTCCTTCAGCTTCTAAAGTTCTGTCTCAGGACGTATTTAACGTTTGACGGAACAATCTACGAGCAAGCGAAGGGAACACCAATGGGCTCGCCGATTTCGGGATTTATCGCCGAGGCGGTCCTACGGCGGTTAGAGTCGCTGGTCTTCCAACAGCACAGACCAAACTTCTAGGCTCGATATAAGGACGATATCTTCGTCGTCATCGAACGCGATCAGGTGCTAACGTTCAAATAACCCAACAGCGTCTTCCAGGACATACAATTTACGATGGAGGAGGAAGAAAATAACCAGCTGACATTTCTTGATGTCCTCGTCTGTCGCAAAGATTGTGGTGGCCTAAAGACCTAAGTGTTCAGAAAAGCGACGAACTCGACGCAAATACTGAACTTCAACAGTAGCCACCCAATCAGCCACAAACGCAGTTGCGTAAAAACGCTATATCGGCGTGTTGAGAGGCACTGCAGTGAACCGGAGGACAAGGTTGCCGAATCCTAATATCTTCGACGGGTTTTCAGAGAAAATGGTTGTTCGCGCAACTTCGTCAACCGGTGCATGCTCAAACGGGACGAGCGAAAAAATCGCGCCGACCCCAAATTCTGGCGAGCAATCCCGTACATCAAGAACGTCTCTGAGGCCGTTAGTTGCCTTCTTGCACCACTTGGGGTTGCAGTTGCGGACAGACCGGAGGCCACCATGAGGAGTCAGGTGATGAGACCAAAAGACCCACTGCCACGGCAAGAAACATCTGGAGTCGTTTACTGGATCTGGTGCAATTGCTGATAAAGCAACTACGTCGGAGAAACTGGAAGACTGATCCGGACGCGAATCGCCGAACACGTGGCAGCTGTACGGAGAAATGACGTCAACTCTCAGGTCGCGGCCCATTCGACGAGACTCGGCCACACAGACAAGTTCGATGAGGCCGAGATTCTCGCGAGAGGGGATAAGCGCGTGAGCCGCGAGTTGCTTGAGTCATGGTTCACGGGACCTCAGTCGATCAACAAGTGCAACGACGTCACCACTCCATATTTCATGCTGAGGCATAGACTGGTCAAAGCAATTGACCACTCGGGGAGCGCGCAAGCTGGTGAGCCAGATGGCTAAGCAATAATCAAGCCAGTATCCAGCACGGGAGATGAGATTTCAGCAATTAACAACTTGCATGTCGGTCCTCAAGCAATTAGCGCACCAGCGGGCAACAATCCTTGATGAAGCGCAACGCGGTTAATTGCTATAGGTATGCGGTAGCATAGCGACTGCATCCTATAAATACTGCAACTTCCTGTGCACGAGTCACCCTTTTCTGCCACTGTCTCTGATGATGGATTCAAGTGAGAATCCGAAACGTCAGGCGAATAAAGCCCTTCTTCCAGCGATCGCTCCTTCTTCTTGGGATCAATTATCACATTCACAGCAAGGAGAAAGGGCTAGCCGACCAACGTGAAACATCGACACACAGGCGCGCCCAAACAGTCGAGCGTGATTCGTACATGCAACGGCAGCTGATCAGCCCATCCGCTTATGAGGGGGGAGGGCACGGGCACACCGACCGTTCAGAGACAACGATAGCCTGGCAGGGGGCAGAGTTCACACGAAGGCAGGTCAGAATTCGTGAATCAGGAATACCTATAATACGAGTGATGTGATGAGACAGAACAACACCAGACTAGCAGGAACAGGCACCCACTGCTCTTATGATGGAAACGAGGAAGTTTCCGAAACGTCAGAAACAATACAGCTTGGTCAAAGCAATTGCCCCTTTTCCTTCTCCGTCTTCTCTGGGAATGATGAACGGGGTGATTTATCTGGACCTGGAAGCTTCCCAAAAAGGGAGCTCTGGGGATGATGTTTTATTCATCTGAAGTTTCACACTCATACTCGAACGCATCATCGGAAATAGGAAATATGAGAACTGAACGATTTAAGTAGATCTTTCTCGCTCACTCCTGATAGGGCATCAATTACTATCCTCATTGGGCCTCCCCTGGCACGTAAGTGGTGTTTAGCGGCCTCGTATGTGCCGATAAGTCGACGCTGCGATTACTGGATTTGGCGTCTATTTGCCAGGCCTCGATTATTTCTCTCGTCAGTTTGCTTTCCGCTCGGCCGAGCA